AAAAAAAACATTTGCACCTTAAAGACTACTTTCCTGTTTTTCTTTTAATAATTCTTCATAAAAAAGACCATTCAAGCAGCACATTTTTCCTGATGTTTTTGAGAATATACTTTAGGGGTGAAAGCTGCAGCTGCTACTAGTGTGAAGTGAATGGACAACAACAAAGGTTTAAAGCAACAATGGGGAAATGCTGTCCCCTAGGGATGGGCGATATGGGCTAAAAAATTTATCACGATAATTTCTAGGTTTTACCACGATAACGATAAGTGACGATAAAAAACAAAACAAAAACACAAAATCGGCCTAATGTATGAAACCAATCAAACAAGCCTGAAATATGAGAACTAATTTCACATTTATTTAAATGCTACACAGCAAATATAACTTGGCTTATAAAAGTTGCAAAGTAGTGCAACTGTAAATACAACCTGATAAATTGAGAAACAGAACTTAAAAGTATTTTACTGAAAATTAAAACTAATCAGTAATCACCTCCTAATATAAATGGATGTGTAAATTACCAGTTGCTGGAACATGCCATATATTGGATAAATAAATACCAGTGCAAGTTCTAACATACTTTAGACTCACTTCACTAAAAATAAAATTCAAATGTTATATTAACCTGTAACAACATTTTTTGCTGTTGGGCTACAAAAATGTGCAAATTGCATGATAAATAAAGGGGAAAAAAAACGAAAAATCTAAATACTAAAATAGAAATAAATAATTTCAATAAATTCCAACAAACATGTAAAACCTGAAATACTTCTTTGTGCAAGAATGTACAAATAAGACTAGCAGGATCGTCAGCATGCTAAACAATGAAATAAAAATAAATAATATCAAAAAATTTAAAAAGAATATAAAAACTGAAATACCTCTCTGTGCAACCCTCCTTCTCCACAGATCGAAGCGGCAAAATATCTTTAGCCAGGCAAAACGCAACGGCCTCTGTTAACTCTTTTCATCGCTTGCTTTGGCTGTCATATGGTGTGGAATAAGCAAACGCGTCAGCAAGTTTTATTTGAGTGGCAGTCGGTTTCTTAACAGAGGTTTTCGAAGTCGAGGCTTCTGCTGCATCGCAGAACATCTTCTGACTAGCATCATATTCCGGTTTGTGTTTTAGGTGGTGAAATAAATTGGTAGTGTTGCTCCCCTTTGTCGTCACAGGTTGTCTGCCAACTTTGCATATTACGACTTTCTCCATATCAGACTTTTTAAATCCAAACCAGTTCCAGATAATGGAGCTGGAGCCTCTTTTAGGAACCAGGTCTTGGGGCACGTCTCCTCCACCTTCCGCCATGCTTGTTGTTTGCACATGGCTCGCACGTGAGTTGGGCTGCAGGTGTGTCACGCGCAGTATACGTCACAGGCGGGAGTTTATCGTTTTTATCGCGAGATGACAAATTGTTACCATGAGGAATTTCTTTGACGATATATCGCACACGATAACATATCGCCCATCCCTACTGTCCCCTCAATGCTAATGTAAACCCTGGTTGGATAAGGATTCAAAACTGGATATGAAATCTGACGCACAGTTTCAGTGTTACAACTGATAAATTAATTGCTGTCTGTGGTTCTACAGTAGGCTATGGTGTAATTGAGCAATATATGAAAAAAAAAGAACTATGAACTAGTTCATTTTTTGGAACTGTGAACTTAGTTCAAAATTTTGAATTATGAACTATGAACTGAACTAGTTCATTTTAAAATGTGTGAACTGAACTTTGAACTAGTTCACGTAGAAAGAGAACTTTCCCAACACTGGGTGTGGAAGGGTGTGACTCTGCAGATGTATAAAATGCTTCTTATCTGTTATTGTGGGTCAAATATTTGAAGAAGTCTTCAAATTTCTGAAGAAGTTCATTATAAAGTGCATACATTTTAAAGTATACATTATTTAAAGTTAAACAAAAGTTTTCTTTAACAATTTACCTTTAACATTAATTAGATTTATGAATTCCATTGATCTGTGTTTTTTTCAGGCAAATCTTTAAAATTGTATATAGTTTAGCCCCCAGAAACTCCTTTCATGTACAAAGAAAGACAGAAAATGTTTTTTTTTTATCTCTTAACAAGATAATTTCATTATTCCACTTTTCAAATCTTGCACACACACAGAATCAAAGCTGTCTGAATTTAAGAAATACATTGGAGAATATGTTTCATTACATCTGCAATTTACATTTTGTAATGCCCAAAAGAAGCGAGTATAAAGGAGTATATACTAGCAAGGAGCTACTTCTTCTACAGTTATTCTTAGTAAGCTGAGCTTCAACAAGTGCTGGTGTCTTTCTGTAGCAGTCTATGTGTACATCCTGGACAGGCTGTCAGTCCATCTCGATAATTTAATTTTTATTAGGATTTTATTTTTTAAGACAGCATAAATTTTGGATAATTGCAGACACTTAATCCAGAGACTGTTTTACACTCTGCTTTGTAAAATATCTTAAACTCGTTCAGATTGGATAGCCAGAATCAATGCTGAATGCCCAAAGCAATTTCCATGATCTATTATAGATTATTTAATTTTTCTCACAAAATAAGACTATTGTTAGACTACTGTACCCTAGGACAGGTTTTCCCAAAGTGGAAATATATTATATGCATATATAAATCTTTTATGAATTAAGTAAATGTAAGATTGATCTACTTTTCTACTAAATGATTAAAATCTTAAAAACAACATCAAATGATTAAACTACATTTAAAAAAATATATAATAATTTCACTTTATATCTCTACATAAATATAGAGTAAATTAAATACATGTATTAGTAAGGTGGTCTCCTCTTTTGCATTGTTATACTGAGCTCACAGGCTGAAAGGTTTGGGAATCCCTTCGCCTCGTGAGACCATCCTCATCTCGCGAGCTTTCAAGATTTCTCTCGCTAATCAGTCTGGCTACTCTCCGTTGAAGAAAATTTGGAGCCGTTCACCGAACGAACGTCCAATCAGCGTTGGCTTTGAGGCGGGTTGAGGTGTGACGCAACGAGAAGCGCGACAGTTCAGTCTAAAGAACATGGTGGCTCCAGCCGATGAAACTAGCGTTAGCGTGGCTATCGAGCAAGTTTTATCGGAATTACAGAGTATTTCTTCACTGAAAAAAGAGCAAAACACTGCTCTGGAGGCTTTTCTCAGAGGAAAAGATGTTTTTGCTCTTCTCCTGACTGGTTTCGGCAAGAGTTTGATCTATCAATTGGCTCCTCTTCATCGTCGCTCAGTACGTCATATGCTTCGTTGATCTGATTGGTTTATTTGGCCCGTCTATCACCAACATAGACCAATCAGCTAACCAGTATTTTCGGCCCTTCCCAAAATTACTTCTACAGAAGGTTTCCAGATGGATATGCGGAGCAAATCCATCTGGCGGAGTCAGGTTAAGAATCCCTGCCATGGGAGCATCAGATCAAAAGGAGTTAAATTAAAATGTGCCTTTCAAAGAAAAAAAAGAGAAAAATCTAATTTGTCAGTTCCTTCAAGTTCTGCTTTTCGTGTTCTCCTTTTGTCTGTCCATCCTATAAAATTTAAATACAATAAACTAAAGTTTGTCCGCATTTGATAAACTTAAAAAAAATAATTTATACTTTTGCAAGGCATTATGGATCTTTATTTTAACGCCTGGTTGATCATGTGGGCTATATTTAAAATAATTGAATGTGTTTAAAGGCAAAAATAGCAATAATGTCCTCTGAAATGTAGTCAGATGGGCCCAGCCACCGTTTTAGGTATAAAGTGCGCCTGCAACATTTAGACAAACTTGCTTGTAAAAATAGCTCCAACCCAGGAGCAATGACCCAACATTTCTCCCCTACAGGGAAGCAACCTCAGTGAAAGCTAATATTTCACTCTAAGTCTCTTGTTATCACTAGAAGCAGACCCACATTTTGCCAGCAGGCCAGTCTACCCAGAGATCTACATGCCTCTCTTCTGCTGTAGTGTGTGACAGGCCCACAGTGGGCGTGGCCGTATGGCAATCCAAAGACTCTGATATGGGTCTGCACTCCCAAATCACAGGAGCCATCAGTCAACATCAGCAACTACTTCAACTTTACTGCCAAGAACAGAGGCATTTGACTTTGCAGGTGTCCAGCTCTGCCAGGAATGTCCAAGCAGTCAATCACCAGCATATTTTTCTCTGGTGTTTTTTGTTTTTCACTCCTGTAAGCACTGACCACAGATCAGCCGCCGGCACACCCCAGGTTAAGCCATCGGCCCCTCCTGTGCTTGTTGGACCGGGAGATTTTTAATTAACACAGTGGGGGAATCAAACAAGGCTGCCCAAGCGTTGCTTAAACCTCCCCATGTCTAACTCTTCCTTAACAATACAGAAGGACATATACATGGGTTATGAATCAGGAGAAATATTATGATCTATTGCAAGTTCTGTGTGGCAAAAGGCAATTTTACGATAACTAAAAAGCCTGTGGGGCTGTGGAAGCCTACAGAGCTGTTAGAGTTGGGGAATTACGCTGCACACTGTTAATGTGATTAAAAAGATACTTAAAATTGCCAGTTAGTAAGATTGCTTCCCTGATGTGATGAAACCGGAGAAAAGGAAAGTGTTAATAATAGCAATCATTTGCTTTTATAGAAAATTAACAGTTATTCTGTTGGCTTTAAACACAGAGGGAAAATATAAATTACTGATTACTTTGATAACACCCCCACTCCATGTTGCTGTGCTCTGTTGGCTGGCACTGATCAATGGCTCTGCCTCCTCCTTATGGTGTGACATCAGTCAATAGCTTTGATTACCGAGCAGCTAGCTGGACTCACGCTCAGCGGTGCCAGATCCTGTGTTGGCTGCTTTGTTTCCACATGGAGCCAAGCGTGCACTCACTCATGTGAGCGAGTAGGATTAGAGCATTATGAACTAGCGGTCAGGATCGCTGTCCTTATGCAAAGTCATATTTCATTTATTATGACTGAAACGCTCTGATCTGTGAAGTAGTTGTTTTGCTGATCGTACACTCTTGGCTTTGTCTCATCAGGCCATGTTCAGTCTATGTATGGTGGAGAGCGAGGCAGATGAAGTAACCCTGCAAGGAGTGACCAGCGTTGGACTGAAGCACGCTTTAGATTTCGCCTACACCGGACAGGTGAGCTTCTATAAATGAACTACTCTGCACTGCTTCCAGAGCTGTAGTTTCATGCTGATTATGATGTATAATGACACTGCAGTGCTCCCCCCTCTGAGACCCAACCATAAAGAAAATAATCTTTTTTTAAACAATTATTACAAAGTTGATGCCTGCATCAGTGTTTGCAGCATCCCAGTAATAATATCAAATGTGTTGACCTTTAAAAATTTACTGCAGCTATTATTCTCAATCTCAGGAAATTAAACTAATGAATGTTTTCCCAAGCTAAGTGCAGCTACTTTGCAGTCTAACTGGACTTGGTTACCCTAGAATGCAGAGCCTCCACTGCTCTGTAGGCAGCCCTCTTATCTAACTTTAACTGCCTCTCAGCAGCTCCCTCTCATGTATAACACTTATGTAAACTTTAATTATTGCCATAGGTTAATATCCTTTAATTTGATGCATAGTGTAAATTACAAGGGCCTGACTTTCAAGTAGTAATAATCCCCAAGATCTATCATGAAGTGTGAGCACATAATGCATTGTAATAAGTAAAATAAGTTAGTTTTAAACATTACAGCCCTTAGTATGTCTACCAAAAAGGCTGATTTTATAAAAAAAGAAAGCATTCTGTTGGTCATAGGTAACTGATTTCACATTCAAAATCTCAGTATAATAAACTATCCTATAGTTGGAAAGACTGGTTTAGGAATAATATCTAAAAAAAGAACAATATAGCTATAAAAATCTGGCTAAAAAAACTAAAACATTGTTTTTTTGTTGTTTTTTTTTCCTTGTCCATGCTCTCTAGGTCTTAAGCTGATGATTTTTGGTATTACAGAAAAAAAATGAAGCTTTCAAAAGATAGCATAATTTATTATCTGGCTCTAAAGGCTGACAGCTGCTTCTTCCACCCTTGTGGGAAATGACTGCTGTCAAACATTTACAATAACTGGCACATTTGGAGAAATTATGGCCCACTCTTTGCAAAATTGTTCTGCCACATTTTCAAGAATGAATGGCCTCTTTAAGGTCATTCCACTAGGTCACTTCAATTTTCGAGTCATTCTTTGTCTCGACATATTATCCATGTGCCCAGTAACAACCTTCAAAGGTTAGTCTTAGGGGATAGAAGTCACGGTGCAGTTAACTATTACAGCAGGTAGTCCAGGTACTCAGGAAGCAAAGCAGATCCAAGCCGTCAAAGTACAGCTGTCCTAATTGAATGTCGCTATGAAGTTCTTGTCTCATCATCAGTCCACAGCATATTTCTCAATAGGCTTAAGGATCATCTGGATATTCTTCTAGAGAAACCATACCTTTGAGCGATCTGATCACAGTTGTTTTCACTCTCTCTGTTACTTGTGTATCATCTTTGAAGTCTACGTTTTACTTTTACTTGAGTAAAAATATAATGAATTAGTTTTGGATACTCTACTCACCTCTGATCAGAAACAAATAGACTTAAGAAAAGTTAATTTCGGAAAGCTGCAAAGGCGGATATCTGCCTGCTGGCAGTAACTAAACATCCCTCCTAAAAATCCACTAAACTTCCAGCTCATTTGACCGCTTTTGTCTGCTACAATCCATAAACATGTGTTCTTTTGTTAAATTTTAAGTATATTCTTGGTAATGCTAATTATTTTTTTGTGTTATTAACTTATGCCTGTGTAGTAGGGGTGTAAATCACATCCATCATGGCGAATTCGATTCAGTATCGATTTCTTGACCCAACGATTCGATTATTTTCGATACTCAAGAATACACCACGATGCGATGCGATTCGATTCGATTAATCGATTAATTGGTTAACTTTTTATTTATTTTTTTTACACCATACAGGCTAAACAAAGTTTCAAGTTTGAAATAAATCAATGAAAGCTGTAATATCGTTATGCATTTTTTTTTTTAGAAACAACAGCAAATAACCAAAGTAGAAAAGTTGCATCAAAAAATACTGTACATAATCAGTGCAATGAGTGCACTGATTATGTACTGCACATAATCAGTGCAATGAGTGCAATGCTCGGCTCCAGACGTCCCGCCCCCTTGAGAGACGCTCCGCTGCTCCTCTCCCAAATTGTAGCTGACCGCAAACAGTGCCGCAGACAGGAGGCCAGCTTGTTTTGTTTTTATGACCGAAATTGCGGAAAACAACTCGTGAAGTTTGACCCGCTAGAAGAGCGAGGTGTGCGAGAACGCTGGGACCCTTTTTACACCTGGATCTCCGCCCTTTTTGGCCCTCATGTCCGACCGTCGTCGGACTAAACTCGCCCCCACTTCCTCGCCGCCTCGGCCGTATCTAGACCCACAGTGTGTAGCACAGACCACGCTTCAATACTGAGCATAATTTAGAAATGTCTGTGTCAAGCTTGCTGCAACAAACTGCTGCAGGAGTATAACCAGGAAGCGAGGTAGGAGGGCAAAATAGTTTTAGCGCCACCGCAGCACGGGAGGGAGAATTACGTCCAGGAGCAAATGGATAAAAATTGACCGGAGCAAAAAAAAAACATGCATCGATTATCTTGTGGACGTGTCGATGCATTGGATCGTCGACTGTTGGATCGATGCATCGATACAAAACGATTATTATTTACAACCCTACTGTGTAGTATATGTGTATTTAGAGCTGGTGTCTCTCAGAAAACTGTCGTTATGGTGACATAATGGCAATAAAAACTCTTGATTAGGCTATTATGTGATAACGATATGGGTGTTAAACATGGCTTGCATCTAAAGGGCTGGTTATCCTCCCGCAGCAGTGTGTTGCAGGGAGGTTGTCGCAGATATTTTTGATTTATGCCCAATATTAAGGCATGGTCTAGGCTATGTTATTCCACGCCACAATGCAAGAGGGACAATCACGAAATAGCTGTGGGTCTAGATACGGCCTAGGCGATGAGGAAGTGGGGGCAAGTTTGTGGGAATACAGAGGGACATGAGGGTGAAAAAGAGCGGGGATCCAGGTGGAAAAAGGGTCCCAGCGTTCTTGCGGACCTCGCTCTTCTAGCTGGTCCAGCTTCTCAAGTCGGTTTTCCACAATGGCGGCTTGACCCAGGTTTAGGTGTGATTGTGCGGGGGGGTCAGAGAGACATCTGTATTGCTGCTCTAAAATGTATTTTTCTCATCTGTGACAGTTCTGTAAATGTCACTTCAAAATAAAGTTGAAAAAAGTAAGAAATTATATTGGTCTGAGATTAGCTAAAGACGTGCTTAATTGGGGGCATATCGCGATATATATCATTACTGAAGTATAAAATAGTCCATATCATGATATATGATTTTTTTCCATATCGCCCAGCACTACTGACAAGTACCGATAAAAGAAAGTGTAAATAAGATCAATAAAATACAATAAGCCAATAGTGTGCCATAATTTAATTGTAATCCAAAAAGCCCCTCTATATATTGATAAGAAGAAAAAATAGAGAAAATCTGTGACGGGGCCAATATTTGCAGACTTGCAAATAACAGTTATCTAAAGCGGTTCAAAAGTCACTCACATTGGTATAAGGAAAATGAATTATAAATGTTTACTTTAAATAGATTTAAATAAAGATAGATCACACTTAGTGAGTTAGAATTTCACATTTTAAATAAATAGATACAGCTACTTTTTCATTTCAAACTCGAAGTGTATTTACCTAAATCTCCTACTGAGTAAAGACATTCTGGCATGTATTTGTGGAATAGAAACAGGGTTATGCTTTGTTTTCCCCGTGAGCAGATGAAGTCATGCACCCTGGAGAGAAACTATGATTTAAAATTTGTAGTTGTTGACCAGTGCCACACATGTCAACAAAAATAATTCAGATTAGGTTTTGCAGATTACTGTTTTAATCTCAGCACCATAAGCTCCTAGATCAGGACTTAAAAGCCAGGCAAAAGTGTATATAAGGTCGTCCATCCTTGGTGAACGGCAGCTGCAATCCAGAACAGCTGTGGATGTAAATGAATGTATATTAAAGAAAGCGTTTTCAAGGTGAGGGTCAGGTCAGGAAACTTTTTCTTTCGGGAGACATCACTACCTTTGCTTGTCTTCTCTCCTTCAGCTGTAGCTGTTCGAAGTGTGTAATTGTTTTTCCTGACCTTCCTTATGCAAGTGTTACTGGGGCAACCAGAACTGTGGCTTATTTTGTATCCTTAAAAGCTGTCAACTTGTTAAATACTCCAAATTTTGTTTCCACGAAAATGAGTGAGTGAGCCAGTAAGTAGGTCAGCTGCAGGCTTGCGAGCTGCCTCGTTTTATGTTTGTTTTGCTCCCTATAGATCAGTGGATCCCAACCCTGGTCCTCGAACACCCCTGTCCTACATGTTGTTGTCGTCTTTTTGTTGCATCACACCAGAAAAGAACTGATGATTAACAGGCTTCTGCAGCACTTCATTGTAAAGGAGGAGCCTTCATTTGAATCTAAAACGTGCAGGGTCAGGGGTCCCTGAGGACCAGGATTGGGAACCACTGCTATAGATGATAGAAGATGCAACCAGGGCGACATATCTCCTGCCCTGTAAATAACATCCTACAAAAAATATTTAAACTGAGTGAGGGAGCAGACAAAACATCACAGAATGCCAACTTTTTTACATTATGCCTGAAATCCTAACCGGACAACACAAATATTTTGCCTTTGTTTTAATATATCCAGGTGACAGTTCACGACTAGCGATTAAAATACATGTTGTGATTATGCAAGAACTCCCTTGACTCCTACTATAAAGTGGGCACTAGATTACAAAACCGACTGAAGTGCTTTAACTATAATGGGCTGCTAGAGTGAGGGGTCTAATAGCAGGATAGGGAAAAAAACGTTCATTATGGTCACTGGAGTCATTATTTCAGATTACAATCACTGCTGTCCCTTGACAGGACACTAATTAGATTGAAGACATTTTTTGTTCCTTATTTGAGATGTGTAGTAGCACTTTTGCCTTGCAGAAAGGGTTTGAATGGGTTTGAATTCCAATTGAAACATACTCCCTAAGCGCAGGCTTTAGATTGTGTTTCTACACAGATACAA